AAATTAAAGTTATCGCGCCATTTGTTGGTCATTTCTGTAGGAAGGGTGAATAGGTCATATGAAAAGCTCATTCGCTCTTAGTATAAGCTAAGAACCACTTATAGGCTGCCAAACAGTCACCCCATGATGAAATGTCAGGAGATACTAGTGTCACTTGAGGAGAAAGGATGATAATTAAGCAACGTAATCACCAAGTAACATGGCAAATCAGTCGGGTGTCAGGAAGAAGCAGATGCATTCTACAGTCAGCAAAACTATGCCCACTAGGTAGAACCAGCGAGCCAGATGCTGCATTAGAGCTTTAAGGTTTTGTCTAAGTATGCCGAACGTGCGCAACCAAGCTACTTATTTCTGGCTTCTGTCAGCATGGAAAATGTCGAACATTAGCGGTTTGGGAAGTCTGAAAGAACCCCTGAAGAAGTCTGTTCCCGTATCAACCACCGCGGCTGTAAAATGTGAACGGTAACAGGGGATCAGTTCTGGTCTCCTTTGCAACGAATCTGCGTAGTTCCCAGCCATCTGATTCGCATCCGCTGCAGCAGACATGTTCACTCTCGACAAGGATGGATTATTCTTCGCATGTAACTCTCAACGCGTCTTGTAGAAAGTCACAAGGTGATCCACGGTATTACTTTTTTGTGTCGTATCACGATTGGGAATTTGCTGCCTTCACTGTCAGCAGGCAAAGAGTGAGTGTGAGCGAGTTATGTGAACACCACCAAAGCCATAGCTGCTAAAAACGAAGTGGGTGAGGATGGACTTGTTCGAGAAACGGCTTTGTTGTCTTAACTAAAATTATGATCCGGCGAGAGATTTCAATCAAAATGGACAAGCGTACTGTGCATTAACTAACTTAGCTCAACAGTTCGACCACTGTTTTCACCGTTAGACACATCTTTTTGGTATGTGGATAACGAACTACCAGATGCAGCGTATCGCACGTTTGCTGTTCAATACAGAAGACCATCAACGCGAACCTTAACTTCAACTATATGTGCCAATTATGGGTGTACACATTATGGTCATTGGATTCATTCATCACACACCACTGTGTAGATCTGAAACGATTGTAACCATCTGATTAATGTGACATTGAATGTGGCTTAGACACGTGGGTCAGCACTACTGAGGTGAAAAAACGAGTTTGAGGCTACTGATTCAGATCAAGAACACAGAGTCATAGGGCAGATTTAGTCTTGCTAGATTACTCTTTGAATTCTGTGTAACTCTTGGATGGGGTCAACCATGGCTAAGGGGTGCCGAAGAAGGAATACTTGTTACTTCGATACAAGTTTGATACAAAGTTCAAGCACTTGCAAAATGTGTCAGTTTCTTTCTAAATTGCGTGACTGAGCGACTAGAGGCACCTCAGAATGTTTTGATAGGCTAAAACCAGGTTTCCGATCTCGCCCACTCTTTTTCTTCTTGCAACTTTAAGGATTTAGGTATAACAATTAAAAAAAACCATTGCTTACATGGTAATGAATCATCAGTGTCAACACTCATGTTAATGATTGGGAATACTTCAGGAATTAGAGTCAAAGTCATCCTAAAAGAGCCAAACGAGCAGGCGCTCTCGAAGATATCATCCCACTTATCAAGTGCCTGTGTAAGGTTGCAAACAACTGTTCCTCGATATTGACATGAGTGGCTCTTATTGTGGACAAAGTTAATGTGGTTGAAAGTGGGTAAACCAGTAAATTCAGCATGTTTCACTGCATGCTACTTTAAGGTTGAAGTAGCTGCTACTGAGGTGACGCTGAATTAGGTTCTGAATAGAAGCACCTCAAACGACCCTCATGAATATTTGTATCACCCCACGAAAACCATTGACGTCTGCTCAACGGGGCCAGGCTCCAAAAAATGTACCATATTAGCTGTCAGTCTACGGAACTCTGTCAGAACTGTTCAAAGTTTCCTCGTGCAAATGGGGGACGGATAACAAAGTAGATAACCAAAGACAAGGAACTGTTTCATGATTTGCGGCAAGCTGCGTCAAGTTCGTTTACTGATTCATTTACTTCCAAACGCAGCAGGACACGGTGTCTCGGAGGCATTCGGTGCTGCGAAAGGAACCTGTATTTCACCAACTTAATCTATCTAATTTGGGAAGACCAAAAATGTGATGGTCTTAGACGATGACCCTATCACTTTGGCGGGACTAACCTTGTTATACCGTCTATGACGTGGCTTCATAAAACTCACAACAGCTTTGAGCGAAACCTTCAGTCGCTATCTAGTGCACTTCAATCAGCGGAGTTTTCAGTCATGATTTTGTGGCCATATCAAATCCACCCTATTCACTTTCAGACAAACTTTGTTCGAACTATCGTTGTAAATTAACTTGACTTTTTGAGTTCCCTAGAGGACTTAATTGTTCGGTTTTTCTTGTTTATTGAGGCTTGCTTCGTCATTAAACAAACAGGCTTTGAAGGCTTCATATACGTCGGAGTATCACTGAGTGGTCGTTCCATGTGAAGCAGTATTTGAGGCACACAAGGCTATCTGTCGTATTAGAAATTACTTCTGTCCACAAAGTCCAAGTCTTGTTAGACCCGAGAGTAAGTAATCATCCTACCCTCCTTGCATTGCAGTGTTGTCTTTTTAGAGATAGGTAGTTCCGCCTTCCTTCAGAGGTCGATTTGCATGGCTATCCATCTGTGTGAAATATGACCTTGAAGTTTCAGTGTTATCCCAACTCCGCGACGGCATGTTTTACATTTGAAATATTAGATGCGGGTTAGACACATACAGGCGCATTGATGGAGACGTCTCACAGTTAGAGATATATAACCTTGTAGAGATTTATTATGGCACTGTAATAACGCATCTGAAGACACATCTCTGTTTTCGGCTATTTCGGTTTTAACGTTTTGGAAGTCGCTTAACAAGAACTTCTTGAATATAATACGCATTAGGTATTCACAACCCACTGATGAAGTAACTTAGAGTATTATTTCAATATATTCGAATTGCGAATGTTTCTAGGACTTACTCGCAGATCACGAAACTTCCGACCGACCCTCTCGCACAAAATCCCCAGAGGGGCGCCCATATATTCAGTTTGTACTCCTCTCTAGAGGCCCATCAAGAGTGACATCCCTTGGGGAATTATCCCTTCTACATTTATATCTATGGGACACGCACTGTTGAAAAACATCTGTAGTCACCTATGACAGTGTCCAATGGTAGTCCCTTCCGGAGAATAAGAGGCACTTTCATTTAATTATCTGAAGTAACAAGGATATGACAGATATCAGAGAGTATGAATCGCGCAACTGCCGAAATGATGCGGTAAGGCCATTAAGAATAATTGCTTTTGTTGAAGCTAGATAATTCAATGCTTTTTTATGTTAGAGTAAACGAACGTGGATCCATAAAGCCGGATTGATTTGACAGTGGAAGAACATAAATGTTTTGTGAGAGTTTGATCGATGCGGCTTCCAGAAAGCTACACCTCGGTGTATTTCACTCAATGATCGATATTCCAACAATCTACAAAAATGCCTCTCAAAAGATTTAGGCGGCCTAAACCAACATCCTATTGCGAGTAGCTGTGAACAGATGTTCACCTGTCTTCCGAGATATTTCATCTGATTAGTTTACAAAAAGTTGACCAAATTAATGTTCGTCTTTTACAACGTCTTCAATTGGAAAACATGCTTATCGTTTGCTGGTTGTGAGATTCCGGGGATTTTAGTGGAGATGTCATTCTGAAAGTGAAGCCAACCTGTGCTAAAAAACGACAGGCACTGTGCAATTGTTTCATCCCTGCTAGGAATCATCAACGGTGCGCATTTCAGGAAACTCCAGAGAATCTCGAACTCGCGACCTCTCGGTTGGCAGTTTGAACACTTAGGATCTACTGCTATCCACCCTTCAATCCGCATCACGTGTTGACTGGCTGGTCAGCTGCTCGTGGTTGGACGGTTGAGTCCAAATTATTAGCCTAGAGGTCGTGGGTTCGGGACTTCCTCGTCAGTTATGCACTGCTGATGATTCCCAATAAGGACGCACAAACTGTATGATGCCTCTCGGGTTTTCGGCACAGGTTGGCTCCAGCTACAGGGCAGAATTTCGTTTTGTTTACCAAGGTCCTCCAGTGTACATCATTCCTGGAGACTGAAGAGCATTGAACCTATTGTATTTATTCACGCAACGACCGTCCCGAGAATAACTTCATATACTGGAATCTTATTAATTTGAAATGTCCATCCTGCTTTCAAGGTGAGCTTGTCGGTTTAAGGGAGGATTGCCTTCCACATGGTCCAGGTAATCAAGACAGCCTTCAGGTGAGTTTTTCATATTTTTGTTCTGCTCCATTAGCGTGGCCAGACGTTTTGGCACGATACCTGCAGGATAACGGTGAAGACACTCCCGTATGCACTTTGACCGCGCCATGAATATATTAGGTGCTGAAAGTGAGTAACACTTCGAAAATACGGCTATTCGACAAAAATACCGATGGAAATACACAAGAAGTGTCCGCCTGGATCATTGACTGATTATTGCGTGGTACAAAATCTGGATATTTGTCCGTACCATATCGCAGATATACAGGAAGAATGCTGTTATTGACATCAGTGTGTTGAAATCGGACAAATGTTGCACAGGCAGATCTGTCCGAAGTACTTGATGGCACCCCACTTTTGCCTGGAGTGTGTTGTTGTGGGGTACATTAGATTCTCACAGCAGTAATACGGAGACTTCTCTGGCTATAGGAAGTATGACAATAATTCCGTTAGCTTCGCAGAATAATAATCAGTACGGCTTTTGGTCGAATAAGAAGGGAAACGTCCGCAGCAGATGACTTTGAGGACCTACGTTTGGATGCTGTCATTCTGTGGTGCCATCAAACCTAAGTTCCAAGTGAATTCAGTTTCTGCTCCGCATAGACATTATATGCATAACAGAAGAATGCACCGCAACGTAAGTGTATTGAACTAAAAGAGTGCAACGTAAGTTGAACTAAAAGAGTGACAAAAAATAAACAACCGATACGGAGATTAAAGTTGTGAAATAACTGACCGCAATAGGGGGAAGTAAGACAATGACACAACTTTGGTTAACGGCGGGGCATCTAGAAACACATGGAAAGAGCAACAATGAATCCCGAGTAACTGGCTTGATTGCATCTTACACGAAGGAGAGGGGAAATTGATAGGAAGAACGAATAATGTAGAGACGACGGTGGAAACTAAGAAGATAACCAGAGTTTTTCAACAGAATAGGAGAAAATGTGGGTATATCACCGAATGGGATTGACTAGGATAAGCGGCTGAAGCATCTTCTGTATTACACTTCAAATAAGTAGTTGAACCGAATGGAAGGGAGAAAGGACCGAAAGGATTTGAAAAATATACATCCATCGGGATCTAGTAGTCTCATAATCTAAAGGAAGGCATCGAAGTATATCAAGCCATCTACGAAGGAATCGATTGGCTCACAAAATAAGTTAATAAAACAAAGTACAACTAAGCAGTAATCCAAAACGTTAGCAGAATTGCAGCAACGGGATACACCGTCTTTTGAGTGAACGAGGCAGGTGGGTGTCATGAGGCGAACCGCTCCACATCAACGACAAGATGCAGCGGCAATGGCCGCAGCTCCTTTGCCACTTCCGTCCTCGGACAACCGCAAACGGAACTGAAAAGTAGTAAAAATGCCCATGGTAAGCTGTTTGACGTTCAATGAATTGTTCGAAAGTTCAGCTCAGTAAAATTGACCGTTTTAGATGATTATCGAAAGGTTCACTAGGACAGTAATGAGCTACCAGTTCTTAATGTTAAAGGATTCCGCCCATCAGAACACGTTCACGGACACACTTGTACCTCTCGGGGACCCTTTTCTGTGGGACTGACGAGACACTGATGCGACAATGACATCCTAGTTACGTCCAGGTGTTAGAAAAACCCGCTTCTAATTGGTAGACTTTTTCGCTTCGTCCAGAGCGACAGCTTTAGAAATTCATTAACTGTGCAACGCCGTCTTTGGCATATGCTGATGAGACGCAGTGAGCCTGCGTAATAATCGTCGGCGCTGCCAACTAGGTCATTTAGATAAACCCAAAGTACAAAGATCTGTTCTGATAGGAAACAATCATTACTAAAAAAGTGAGGATGTCGTAGGAGTGTCATTCTTTTTTCCAAATCCACTGCTTCCAATCTGGGGGTGAGATGACTCAGTGGTCAGATAGCGGATTTACTTACCGGAAGGTCCGTGGTTCGAACCCGATCTGTGCCTCTCGACTTCCCCTGTATAGGTTTGAGCAACTGGGCAGTATCCCAGCCATTGTGATCCCTTCGGATGGCATGACAGCCAGGCAACGAAAGGTGTTACAGCTGAACGATTATTTATTATTTGACTAATCTGTGACAGCCTTAGCGACTGGTGTTACGCGCGAATCAAAGGATGAATCGTTGGCCGAGTTAAGGCACCTTTAGTGAAGAAAAGCCGATTGATATTGCTGGATAATGCATCGGTATGAGTAAACCCAGAACTCTGACATACAGCACTTCCACTGTGAATAACTTATTTAGGGACCAAAGGTTGCTCCCTAATCACTTCTGGAGAACGACGAGGAGGTTCCGAGACAGATCATAATGGGAAACATTGCATACTAACGGAACTCTCTCCGATAAGCGTTTCATTCTGAAAATTGTACTGTACTGAAGCAACACTGCAAAGCCAGTGATAAAAATTGGATCAAACTGAGTAGATTACACGGAGGGAAATTATGTTGCACGCATTAAAAGTGCTAATTAGTTCAGAAAAATTAGCCGGAGATTAACAGATCAGTGCAACTCACATAGGTGTTCTTTGGCTTGAGTTTGTCAATGATGTCGGTCATTCGTTCACGGAACTTCGGATGGAATTTGTACAGGGACCCGTCGATACCGACAGTAACTTCTGAACGCTTCATACGTCGTAACAGAGAAGCGATGCCTAAAACGGATAGAGCCAAAGTAAAAAAAGCCATCGAGAAACCATGCACAACTGTTTGTCCATGTGAGGCGAAGTTTTGGAAATACTGCGTGACAACGCATACAGTTGGATCCCTGGTACACAAACATCATCCGATAAATCTACTCTGAAAAAAGTTCGAAATGACCAAAACGGTGCACAGAGAACGGGTAGAGTGTATGTGAGTCGGCACAGCATATTGCCCTAAACCCATTATTCCGAGTTTTAGGTCTGGCTGCTAAAAGTGAGTCCACAGTGTGACAGTATTACCTGTGTTGCTGGTAAGGAAATGCGGTGTATGCACTGAAAACACAGCGCCCTAAGTAGTCGATGATTCAAGTTGCACAGAAACATATTCACTTGAGTGAACTTACCGGCACCGGCGAGGTACGCTGCACGCTTGGAAACCATTTCACACACATATCGAACAATTTTGTCATCCAACGGCTCTACAATAGGTACAGCTAGGTCCTCAGTTAACATGTAGTGGGTGCTGTAGAACAGGTGTGGAGGGTCACTGGAACAGAAACAGGAGTTCACTAGAAAGTCTGAGTGTTGAAAAGATATTTTCAAAACAACGAACTCTCTATCGGAGGTGAGAAGAGAAAAATAATGCACCGTAACTACACAGGATATTTTGCATCTAGTCTGTTCGTTGAAAATACCAGAGGTTAGCGCTGCTGTCAATAAAAAGTAGTAAAGTCTGACACCTACCGTTCGGCTTCTGTAAGATATTTGGTATGCACCGCATCTTTGATTTGGAGCTTCTCGGGCAATTCACCGCGGAAAAGTAATCCCTCGCGAACGAGATGAACCAATACATGTCGGACAATTTCACCAAGGTACATGCCCGAGACCATTTTTTCAAAGCTAAGGGGAAATGAGCCCGAAACAACCAGATTAACTGGCGGCAATGTTATAAAAATGTACTAATTCTGCCTTGTTACTCATATCTCAGCGATCCAGGGAGGACTGCCAAAAAAGCGACCAGCATGAGAGCGGATTATGCCGGAGTTTGAGCCATCTGCTATTGAAACTCTTCAGGTGACAGGGCCCGATAGCAGGTATCGGAAAACCAATGCTTCGCCGACATTCAAGCGGCGGTGATGAAACAAAAAACTGCTCAACTAATGTTTACTGTGGGAAGCTCAAATAAAACCACTCCAGTACCCTTGGATTCCATAATACCCTTGCAAAACCAGTGACTAAAGTGGTGCTGTGTATTGCCACACTCAGCAACATCGTTTACATTCTTCACATCCAGCAGCATTTCAACAATATAATGCCTACTTCGGATATTGCTACAAAAGTTAGAACTTTTTAATGAACTAACTTGCAGTCCTGGGTCGATTGTGATATTAGGAATGATTCAATCGGAAGACAATGCATTTCATTCAGAGGAGCAACTCATGACATCTGTATCAGATTAACTGAAAACATTAGGGTCCAATTTATTGAGAGTACAAAGAAAGGGGTACTTGGATGTGTATAAAGCTCAGTGGTTAGTGAGAGAATTTACTGACCGGAAGGTTCGTGGTTCGAACTTGACCTCTGCATCTCGAGTTCCCCTGTCTAGACTTGGTTAACCTGGAAGTAACCCAGCTCTCGTGTTTTCTTCGGGTGACACGGCAGCTAGGCACCGAAAGAGTGCTAGAGCCGACGGTTATTTTTCATTATGGTGCATGTTTTTTTATGTACATGGTATGGACAACAAGGAAAGACGGGGAGGACTGTGCACATCAGAGGCTATAGCTTTTCGAGTTTCTACACTTAACATCTAATCACATTATGTCAACATGATGACAACTTACACTTGTTTCCCTGGGTACAAGCTTTCGGCATCGACTGATTTGTCAAACTGTGTTCGGATATCATCGAACTCCCCATTTTCACCAAAAGCACCCCATTCGGTGTTGATCACAACGTATGGTGCACCTTCTCCCTCCATCAGCTCCACGCGTTCCCGCTTTTCAATATAGGCCGCATTCGTACCAGTACCTAAAACGATCACAGTGTGTTCAGATGAGGTAAGACAATTTCGGCGTTCTAAGTCAGATGCTAAGATAGGTCACATAACCAATTTGGTTTTGACGGGAACCCAGTAACTGAATGTACTGCACCAGGCCGCATCATATTTCAGTTGGTAAGATATTCGACATATTGTGATACATTGTATAAATGTAACACACTACTCATAAAGTTGCTGAAAACTTTTCGATAGCTCATAACCGGTTTCAGTCTTCTTGGGCTCAAACAGTATAAACCAGAGGTTCAACTGGGTTCCAACTGAGTCTCCTGTCAAAACCAAATTGGAATGTAAATGAGTGTACTTCGCCAATTTCGTGCAATTCGGGTTCAAGTAGAACATAAGGTTGATGGAAACTCGGTGACTCCACCTACCTGATGAGCCCTAAGAAGGCCTAGACCGGCCGTGGGGTGTCCAGGAGTTTTCGTAAACCTTATGAATAGTGTATTACGTCTGAAGATCACATAGCTGGTAAGCACACCGAAGCTTAAGGCCATTTTTGACACTGTCAGAAAGCTGGTGATGTCTATCAGGGTGGCGGAATGGCGAGAATCGGTGAATCGGGATAAACTTCGTAACCAAGATTATATCTTAAAACCAGAAAATTCACAATTACGGAGTTGTATGCAAGTAGTATACGCTAGCCCTTATGGATTAAGTCATCTTGTACCTGCCGACTATAAATTCCAGGGTCGGATTTTCAGTTATTTATGCAAGTGGTGGAATGTACCCAATGAACTGGTCAAACGACCGTACAAACCAACCGTGAATCGACAGTTTAAAAATGCACCACACCTTGTTATAGACTGTCAAGAATGTTTTCGTTACATTTCACCGGAACAAAAAAATAGACCAAGGGTTCTTCGGCTACGACACCTGGCCACTGGCCGCTCTAGTAATTAAACGTCAAGTTTACGACTTTCAGCATCAAGCTTGTTGAAATATTGTGAAACAATTCCAGTAGCTGTCTGCTCCCAAAGTAGTAATGTGACGTGCTTCTAACCGGGACAAGCCTGCTTCCATGGCCATCACAAATAACGAATTTTCATTTATTGTCCGTTTTGTTGCTAAACGCGGGCGGACCGATGTAACAGCGTGCAGTGAAACAGTGAACGACACGTAACACAATGTGACAAAACTTGAATGCTAAATCGCAAGTCCTTTCATCAGACAAATGAAGGGGAATAGGCGGTGAGGGGATAACGAATCAAATCGGTCTTTCCCAAGGTGATCACGTGACTCAAAGTCCATAAATTAGATCAATCTCAAATCCACGTCTCTATATGAGAAAATACCAGACGGGTCCGTTTATCATGGGTTTCTCAACAATGGAAGGCCCCAAAAACGCGATGAAATGTGTGAAGTGGACAGTTATCAGCTGCTGCGAAGACAGAGGAGAGTAAGATGAAACGAGTTAAACACTTACCTACAATCAAACCAACGGCACACTTTGGGTCCTCCAAAGCACACGAGGCCAGAGTACCGACTGTATCGTTTACCACGGCGACACACTTAACCTTAATGCCCTAGAGGGAGGACGAACAGAACACCGTTCAACATAATAGCTGCATATAAGGAAAAACAATAAGAAAGGATAGTGGGATTATTTGAGCAAGAATCCGTGAAACTCCACGCCTTTCCGAATTTGATGAAAATAAGTCAGATGGAAATCGTGAGCAGCGACCGCTGCGTTCACAGCTCATACAAGAGCGGTGTGAACGAAAAGGTTCACCATGAGCAAAAGCGCATTTGAAGCCTGTTGTTGTATTCACATCAGGGAGTACTGTGTACCCATCGCAAAAAGTTGAAGCTACCTTGTACGGATGCAGAAAGGACTACGTTTATTTTAGCGATCAGTGATGCGAATTATAAGACAAAAGTAATCGAGCAATTCAGAGGTTCCGAGCAACCGATGTGTACACACCGGAACCTGGACGGCTTGATGCACGGGAGGAGTTGATGAGTTACGTATAAAGATCAACGATGAGAAGTCAAAATTAATATTAAACCTAGAAATCAGTACTATTGCTCATAAAAAAATCGTTCAGCTGTAACACCCATCCGGTGCCTAGCTTCCATGCCACACGAAGGAAGCACGAGAGCTGGGATAGTGCCAGGTTGCCCAAGCCTAGACAGGGGAAGTCGAGTGGCAGAGGTCGAGTTCGAACCACGGACCTTCCGGTTAGTAAATCCGCGCTCTAAACACTTGAGCCATCTCGCCCACTACTGCCCATAATGGTGTTTATCTAATGTAGAGTGACAAATTTCGATTAAAGGGGCCCAAAGTACATAGCTCGTTTTACCGCAGTTTGTCTCACTCGTAGGTGTCCGCCATAGGTGTCCAGAAGTGTCACGGCCCGTTGCCATAAATACGCACGCATCACGACCGATTTAGTAAGCTCACTAAGTCTAAAACCATTCTGATTTTGACAGGGGGGAATGGAAGTTTCATCATTTTGCGTCAAGTCATGACGATGCGAACCCGTGGGACATATGTAAAATACAACGGAAAATTGAAGTTGTTTACCGCGTACTATCTAAAGATCACCGCACCGTGAGCGGTGGGTGCTTCAAAGTGACCAAACACCTGCAAAGTAAATTTCGGAAGTACTCGGCATTTAGGTCTACGCATAAACGGTTAACACAGCAATGGTATTTTCTCGTGATCTAATGCGCCGATAACAGCCTCTATAACTCATGGAGAAGCATAACGGAAAGAAACTTGGGTAATATCGTTGTGAAAAGAGACTGCTGAACTCAAATTAAGAAAGCGTAATGTTACATCCATCCGTTGTTAGGGTAGAAGAGCTGTTGCTTCGTACTATCCACACAAATTAATGCAACGAAAACGGCTGTCATAGAAATCAGGCAGTATCAATGCAATATTGAAGGATACATTAGTATCTGTGGCATAACAGGATCACTCAGAGTTCATATATGAGTAGAGTTTGCGTCCGCCGTATGGCAGCTATGCCCCCTAAAGGGACCGATTTCCGTGCCTCACTGAACTTAGTAACGTGCATGGGGTACTTGCATCCTGGATCAATAGGTAAGCTCGACAGCACATGTCAATACATGGAAAAACAGTGCACTCAGCTGGCTAGAACGTGAACAGTGGGAGGCCAAATGAGCCGTGTGCCTGAGCTAGAAGAACTATTCAAGGGTGTTAACGCATACATCATAGCTAAGAGTAATGGAAGGGATATAAAGCTACCTAGCTTTACTAAAGCCAGGCTTGGAGCAATGGGTTGAACAGGGACAGTAGATCGGAGTATGGAGGAGCATGAAGAACTTGAGGAGTGCAGTAATAGGAGTGTTGTTCAAGAAAACCGCAGGCAACGGGCAGGAATTGAGATGACGTGAAGTGAATTCAATTCGTGTTATTAACAGCCAGATACTAACACGATGATAGAAGCTAGAAGGATGATGACAGCCCTGCAAAAAGCCAATACAACTAAAGCATGGCTTTCAAGTGGCAGCTAACTGCCGGCATATTACGCAGGCAGAAAAATTTTCAAGGATTAGGCCAATGTATACGTTGTCACTTCCAAAATCCAAAGACAAGCATGCACTGCTCATGGGTTCCTATCCGCTGCCGGTTCTAGCACGCGTTTCTTCGGGTGACACTATGTTAAGCCGGTTTGGCATGGGTCGACAGCTTGCAGAAGTACAGAAATTCTACACAACAATGAAGTCTGTCCTCTGCTTACTATTTCAGAAATGGTCTCAAGATGTGCTGTTTTGTCAGATTAGATACAGTTTCAAAAAAAGCGGACTTACTGTCTTGTCAATGGCCTTCTGCAACATCAAGGCAACATTTGCGCCTTCAACGTCAGTCGCCTTAAAGCCCTTTGTCCACCTGACTAGGGTTGCATTCGTGAGGCCTTTCTGAATGCACGGGAAGGAGAATGTAAATCCAAGGTTACACGGCGTCTCCCCCATGTCGTGGCCTCGAACAAAATCCGCTAGGGTGTTGGCAATGTAATCGAAGAGCTGAAAGGAGCAAATGAAATCAATTACGCAGATAGTGACAACAAATTGAGGACTCGACTGCAATCCTGTAAAAAACCAGTGCACCAGGGCTAAGTTGTCTCGACAAAGTGACTTCGATCTGTAAGAAAGCAAGTTGGTTAAATATGTCAATGTGTTACGTGCGGACAGCCTAAGAGTTAAATGGAATACAACAAACAACATTCTGAAAGTAAAACACACAGGACATAGTGGAATTTCGAGGAAAATTTTGCGGTAAACAATCGAAATAAAGGCCTTCAATAGTAACACGGTCACGTCCTCTGGGATCAGGTCAAGAAATTAAACCCAAAAGAGGATCATCGAGTACTGGCTGTGAAACTCTGTTTAGGGAAGTAGAACGAAGTTAAATTTGCTCCTGTAAAGTTAAAGTTAGTAGCGGCCAAAAAACAGCACTTTCAAATAGTACTTCGGGCATCTTCAGTCGGCCCGGCCGGGTACGTCTCTTGTCAGATGATATACGACAGCCCGCACTTCACTGTTAGTGAGAGCAGTAGTAACAGCATCAGTAAGTAAAACACCTTCAGAATGAAGTTCCAATTTTTTCATGCTGACTGCGATGGATATAGTCTATCAAGGAATCGACGGAAAATGACGAAATGAAGCAAGCTTGGTGCCGTGCACTGAACAAGGTCAAGGAGTGGGGGACCTGTCCGGTTGGGCAACTTAAGCACCTGTATGCACTTTCGAGGGCAATTAGTTCTATGAATAGTCCAACTTGCAAAACCAATATCAAAATACACGATGTATGCTGGTATTTTTGGGCAGTTTGGAAGTAGAGGAAATACGATTGGTACCGGTATGAAATACAATGAATATAGAGTTGGAGCATCAATCGAGCGCATTTGATAGGCATGGATGCCAAAAGTTTGGCCATGTATAAGCCAGGTCACCTCCCAAAGATTCCTTAAGAGAATGGATTCATTTCGTCAAACACGGAAATGCACATGAAAGTACAAATATTTGAATGCATGCCTGGCAGCGTAGTTTATGTAAACTTGACTGAAAAACTAGCGTAGTTTTTTTTTCATGACAGGCAGGTGACTTAATTCGCAGGCTTTAGTACATTTTTAAGCATTTCCAAAACATTTTGAACCCTGACTAACTCCATTTCTAAGATAGATTCGTTAAGCATAAGATCATGCCCGAACAAACAATGCAACCACCTCCACCTGCATAATGTTGAAGTATTTGGTTCAAGAGAGTGACAGTCCTTAACCAAACGATGTTGAGAACGGCAAGATAATGTGATGTGGCATCCTAATAGCACGAAAGAGGAATTTCTAAGGGTTTGAAAATGTCAGGATAGACGGCCCCAAACAGAGAGTGGCAGTTGGAGACTACAAAAAGATAACATTCACGAATACGAAGCTACGGAGATCAGGATGCGTTGATCCGGCTCAACAGTACGGCCGGCAAGAATCTCTACATGTTAGAGCTATGCTAAAGCTGTGCTAAGGCTGAGAAAATATAATGTTTGCTGCGTTCGGTATCACTGCTTTACGCACTTCGATTCACATGCATGGTGCCTCACTATCAGGTACAACTTTAGCTTGCAACTGCGTGACCTGCCATGTTGTGCCGTAAATATGCACATTTCAGTCAAAAATATTTGGTTTCTTTGGAAACCTATATCGATGTCGCGCCTCAAAAAGTTGTTTTTTTTTGGCATATATAATAAGACTAGGGGTTAAAGGCAGTACGCAAACATCCAGCGACGACGGTTCTGCCGAGTTAGACTGCAACTCCTTAAGCTGGCGCCATGTACCCATTGTTGTTTTTAGAGCCGTTAGGCGTACGACCGAAATCCAAATGAAGACCGCTCTGACATGTGAAAAGAAGGGCTCTGACGAATTTGTAACTCTGTAGACAGCATTTTGGGCACAAGAATGTCGCTTTTTTGCAAAGACCAGCACGTGGTCAGAGCCCGCTCAAGTGGTTCAGTATGGAAAGCAGTACTGCATGATACCACGTACACGGAGGGGGTAGGGCTAGACCATATTGGGAGTATTTGGTGCGAGAACAGCGTTTAAAATGCTGTGAACTAATAAAATACAGTACCCAAATCAAGGTATGAAAGCATTGCTTAAGTGCTCCGATCGATCGTTACATGGCATTTTTAGATAGTACTTTGCTGTAAAGAAGACGGAAGCGTTCATAAAAATATGGTTGAATGGGGGTGCCGGTAGCTCTTGGGGCAATAAGATACATATTCAAGGTTCACTGAACCTTAGGACGAGGGCTCGCAAAGCAACAGAGGAAAAAATAGAGGAAAATTAGCCAATATGGAAAAGTCGGAAGGCTCCACCACGCATGTTACGGTCCCAAACTAAAGGGTCAATATGACACTCTTTACGATATCGAAGCTGAATAGCGTGGTTCGGTTTTCTATCAACGTAATGAAGTATGCACACAGAGAATTAACTGATCCACGTTAAATGTACCATGTAGACCTAGTGGAACCTAGTACTCTTGAATACTTAGCATACACAGACCATCCTCCAGAGACGACTAGACATGAGAGAAATTAATTGATTCACTTGATGTGGTCAGAAAACGTCAAAACGGTAGCTACCGCGAAGAAATCAGTATAAGGCCACCGATTCTCAAGGATAAAATGTAACAACTAGTTCCTAACACCATCGTAAGGTGACTGTCAGTTAGGACTGCCAATACTAAACGGAACTAACAAGTAGAAAATTTCGACCGGAATTGCATTCCTCCTCTTGACATCAGCAACTACTTATTCATATAGCTCGTTTGCTTTTCTCCGAAAAATTGACCTGTGGCACCTCTAAACAGGCAAGGAAACCTATTTTACTGGGTAATCGATACAATAACAAGCTATTTAAAGTGTCCTGATGCTGAAAAGCCATAGTTTTCAGGCTCTGAAACATGACCCATGCTCTCATCGATCACAGAAATGCAAAGGAGCCTGGTGTAAGCAGCAGAACAGAAAAACACAACCACAGCCATCAACCCAGTAAGGGTGATTTCGAACTATATTATGTTTCAAGCGACAGGTCTTGCCAAATCGTTAGGTCAAAGCTGTTTACTAATACAAGGGTACAGGAAGAACCTGAATCATTGTAACATTACGCGCATACGGTCTGAAGAATAAACGCACCACAGGGGTACATCAACCACATGCGGACTACTGAAAAAACTCGGATCGTAGTGGTCGGACGACGACCCTCGAAAACTTAATTCACCGATAACAACGTGGTTTGGAAATTACCCTGGTCTCCAGAAAGATGCAAGCTATCAGAAACTATGGAGGGACGCACTGGATTAGGAACGGAACTACATGAAGGAGACTACTCATGAACAAGAGACTCAAATTGGATTTGGGTGAACCTCCGGTTAAAAACCAAATTAGTGTCGAACTATATGTTCACATAACTTTACGACGGGTACCTATTTTCATAAAGATCTGGCGTGAAAGGATACGACATGAAACATGAGCAAAAGCTGAGTCCACCAGCTGGTGGCTTCGACGTCTACATGGCATGGGAAATAACTGACCAGCGCCCACTGAATTGTACAAAAGGATATCTATTGATACCAACGTCAAACAGCTAGCCTGTGGTACAAAACAACCCACTGCGCATTTGTACCTACCTGCTCTCCGGACCCTGTCATCTTGGAATGTGGTATAGCATATGTCCTTTCTTCGATTTTTGGCGGCGCCTTCTTCCCGGGAAGATGAACAAGAAGAACCCGATAATTCGTACCTCCCAAGTCCAGCGCTAAATAACATCCGGATTCTGAAAAAGTGCATCTGGAATTATGAAAGGAACTTACCTGACCCATTGGGAATTTTGGACACATAAGTGGGGTACATCTTTATGGAACTCTCTTGGTGTGTTGAACGTCGAAGACCACTGTTCATAGTTTCGTACATTGTATGACAGAATTTTTCGTATGCCTCAACACTGAGGTCAAATGGCTTCATGATTTCCAGCACCTGCGAGAAGATGTTCTCCTCAACGGATCCCATTGAGCGAGGGCTACCGGCTGCGTGTTGGTTCAGGGGTAGACAAACGCACTTTAACGAAGCGCCATTTAAACCCATTTTTATTGGCAAATAGGACTAGCAGAACTACAGGTATGCGCAGCTATCAGTGACACTTGCATAATTCACCATACTTTTATAGATACAACAAGTTCACAATCGTTGTACTCTTTATTACAAAAGTCAGTTCAAACCCCTTCAAAACACGACTCTGAAACTAAGCAACAACCATAACTTTATTCGAAGGATGTCTCCAAGCTCAAATTTATTCCTCACCTTTCCGTTGCTTTAGCAATGCTGTTTCGGTTATTTCGGAAGGAAAGGGCAACTATTTAACATGGTACAAGCGCGCGGTTTGAAGTTTTCGAGTGACAGAAGCGATGTTCGCCGCGTCCTAGACGCACACCTGAAATTTCTCTGAAACCGAAGTTCGAAAAAGAAAAAAACTTTAGCATAATGTTTAGGCATTTGATGGTAATCATTCGAGCCCTTAAGATCTCGCTACGCGGCCGCAACTTTATTAGAAGTTGTTTAAATGAACTTGGAGTCCACTGTGGGGGCGGAATTTATATTTTAATGGCTGCCGGTGACTTGGAGCATTGTCTCTATAAACACAGTGGAAAATTTTTGTGGAAAGGCTCGTTTCTTCGCGTGTTTTCTTACGTATTGGATTTGAAAATAATCTCAAAACGAAGTAGGCAATAGTCACGCTCAGATTGGAGTAGTCATTCGTGACCTGGAAATGGAAACTTCCTCTATGGTGGCGGCAAGCGTCCCGCCGAAGCCAAGGAACCTGTCACAGCTAGTAAGTTTTTCTCTAATGGTCAGTATACTTTAGATCCTGTGTGAGACAAGGTTTGACTTCGCGGATATACCGAGCCACCGTAATTGCCTTTGGGTGAACTATTGGATTTGTGAGCAGAACAAGCAAACGGCAAAATAAGATGGCCAGTCGGTCCGAAGATGAGCATGTGTTCCACTTAAAGCAATTTTTGAAAGATTTCAGCAGTATGGTACGGTCATTATTAGCAGTAAACGCCAATTAGGTGTTTCTTCGCTATAAATTTTAGGACATGTTAACTCGAACGTACTCTGCCATTTGCGACTATCCAGCCCCCGACAGCAGTAAAAAATCCAGACGGTTCCTTGGTCTTATCAATTATTGTCGTCGTTTTATCCCCAACTGTGCCGAGGTTGTCCAACCTCTCACTGACCTACTCAGACTAAAAACTCGCAACTTCACCCTCACAGCGGATTACAGACACTCCAAGTTCTTGCACAAATTAAACGGATTGAACCGGTCTTATAGGTAACGCGCTTGTCTGGGAAATATTAGGCAGTGGACTACAGGCAAGCCATCAGTTTGGGTATGGTAGTTTCCGTACCGTCATCGCGTCGCCGTACTTCGGTTCGTGGACAGCCCCGCACATGAACATCTTGGATGGGCCGTTTATGGTTGTCATTGTAGTTAGGATATTCTTGGGTCTATCGAGGGTTCATGGTGGTTCTTTGCTGCCATTCAAGCGAGGTAATAAAACACCCATGCATATATTTTGGGCTCAAAATAGGATAAACGTCCAAGGGTTTGCTAGAAAGCACTTTCATGTGAGTTGGAACGCCTACTGAAATAACAGACAGTCAGAAGTCACAATTACTACCTACTTCAATGAGGCAACACTGGCTGATTTCAAAAAAGGCAATCGATTTTTACATGTAGATAATAGGTATGCGGTCGATGTGAATTGGTGATGGCGTATGTGAGTATGTACGACGTGCATTGGCTAGATTGCGCGCAATTAAGTTGGTTTGAAACTTGCATAAACGGGTTCAGAGATATCTGGTGGTGATGCCTATTCGTACGATGAGCTGACCTTAGAATGGGGCTGGTACAGCCTAAAGGAAAGCGTGGAGCTTTGCAAAATCAGTTGCCTCTGAGGCGTCATATCACGTGTATTCGGTGGGTCCCGTAGCATCTTTTCCTCTTCTATCAATGGATATTTCGGTTTATATGGTGATTGTTAAAGATGAATGCCACGACCACAGCAAGCTTAGAACGGTATAAGTTTTCCCTTTCTTCATTGTAGAGGGCGGATTATGAGGTTCACCACGCGGAACGAGTGTATTTTGGGAGATGTCATACAGCTGAATTGAGGGCTGTCAAACATGCAGTCTTTTGCATATACATGGACAGGAGGTGCAGCAGTGGCGCATATGTCACGGAGATATATGTGGAGCTCCAAAAGCTTCCGTGCACACTGTCGTGTTCGTCGAGAGCGTCCTATCTCTATTCTCACTTAATTTCGGGGTAAACGAGGTGACGAGACGAACCCTGGAATAATCTCTGGACCCGGTTTTCAAATTTCTGGCAGGTATATTTCGATTTGGAGTGTGCAAATGTCGTTTTCATCTTCAGAGAGAAGAAGAAGGCTCAGGTGTTTTGTATGATCCCATCCGCAAAGTGTCACGTTATCATACCGGTGTTTATTCTTAATAAGTGGATGGTGTACCGTCAGGCATGATAATAATGTCAGTCAGGATAAGGCTTGAGTTTGTTTGTAATTGCGCGCAACGCAACAAGTGGGAGATAGGGTATAGTCAAGAGGAGGGAGCGCATGGTTGCGGGTGTGCTGCCAAACTGGGTATAGCAGTGCCATGCCATTCACTCCACTGAGATACTTCGGTTTCTGGACAGCCTTGCAACGGACGTCATTTTTGAGATGATTTTGCTTGGATGTGCGATTCTGTGAGGGGGGATATTTGCGGTTCACCGGGGAAATCCTCAGAGGTAGATCAATGCCTATATAAGCTCGCAGGCATTTTTCCGATCTAGTTGGAGAGGTAGTGTGATGCTCGAACGTGCAACGCTCGGGTCACGTTTGCTAATTTTAAACGCATGTGGCATCAAGGCGGCATATCCGTGAGTATCAAGTAATGCATGTATCAGGCCGCAGTACGTCTGATCTGTTGTATGGCTGCGAGATCTCGCCTGTTTGAGAAGCGGAACCAAAGCGTTATCAGGTGTTTGACAAACGTTGTCTCGAAACCATAGCAGTGTAGGTTGGCGTCGGAAAATCCGTAAGGTGACAGTTAGATAGCGATTTTTCGGCTGTGCACCAGGGAGTTCCACTGAATATTGTGTACTTGCAGTCCCTAGTTAGATCATCATCACCATCTTGGACAGTTGGATCGATACAGTTTTGGCTATTTTTGGCTCATTTATTCGAATATGGTCGACATGATTTCAGAAGTGAAGATTGGTTGCATTACTTCGAGACGAAAGGTGAGACGGATGAAACCCAGAAGGGTGCTCCTTGTTGGTTAGATTGCTAATGTGGCGGAGTGGGTGATGGTTACGAGATTCGATGATGAAGACAGAGCTCTCGATTTTGCTAGGGTACATTATATTGATATCAGAGGGCAGAAATCGATTGAAGATGGGGTTTAGTGTACACACGGCCCCCTCGTTATAGCCTACTATGCTAATTCAGCAATAGTGGGTTTACCGTTATAATAATAAGTCTCCATGTTCAGCGCGGACACCGACCTGGAATCGTGGACAAAGGGACTTGTTAAGCAATTGTTGAATTAGCCACTGAAACTTTGCTTAATCATTTCTTTTAAATGATATCGCGGAAAATGGACACGGGTCATAATTAATTATACATTTTTTAGAAACCCTGTGGAGTAAAAATCTGGGAAGTGGATTGACCACACATTTTGCTTGTACCGACGCAACCAATAAACAGAAACATGATTGGTTAAGATAGGTTATGTATTTTTCAGGCATGGGGTGCTGGCGGGTGGACGACGTATGAATATGAAGGACCGACGTTGGTCGCTTGATTCGTCCTTGATGCATGTTTGTGATATTATAGTCAGCTACGAGCTTGTGTACGGGCCCGGCGGTTACCATAAATAGTCCCGGCAGGTGACATCTAATAGGGTTACGAGTATGATGGGCCTTCGCTGACCATTGGACTGGGCTATCGGGCACAGCTGAAGCCCCATACTCAGCGCTGCACATACACACAGACCGTGCAATTACGCGAAGCAGCTAAGTTAGGCGACCACAGCTACGAGTATGACGGGTCGTCGTTGGATGTTAGATGAAGATATCACGCACAGCTGGAGCCTGGTTTCTATCGGTTCACACAGATACCGGCCTGGCGTTTACCATAGATAGCAGATTTAAGTAAGAGAGCGCACAGTTATGGGCATGAGTGGCAACCATTGGCGGTAAAATTAGGACACTGTGCATATTTGGGACCCAATAATCGGCGTCGCACATGGGCACTGGTGCAGCGGTAGTCAAGGCAGACGATATCGCGTACAGTTGTGAGTATGAGGTCCGTCGTTCGCCACTAGATTGGGTATGTGTGCATAGTTTGAGCCTTGTTTCATCGGTTCGCATAAATACTAGCCCAGTGTTCGTCTTGAGTAGCAAAGATAGGCGAAAACGCATGCATTTACGAGTACGACACATTAGGTTGGATTAAGTTACCGGTTCATCAACGCCGCATATGGATACGGAACTAGTAGGGACGATAAGTAGCCAGGTAAGGCGACATCGAGCACAGCAATGAGTATGAGAGGCTAACAGATTAGGCCATCTCACGCACAGTTGAAGCTTCACTTTTGCCGACCCGCATGGATACTGGCATAATGTTTACTATAGGTAGCATAGATATGGATTCACAGATTCAGGGACTGATACACAGGATCGAGGCTATTGCCCAAGTTTCCCGGGTTGCTTTTGTTCCTATCGGTCAGTGGCTGTCGTTCACCTGAAAGGCACAAGTGAAAAAAGGGTATAGCACTGCTCTTTATCTTCTCAGCGCGGGGCAGTATGCTTGAAAGAGTGAGAATTCGCATAAATAAGTGTCTAATAGTGCTCTAAACTGGGTTCTAGAAGGAGCGTGAACAAACGCCGGAGGAAGGTCATTCCATGCACCCACTACCCGAAATGAGAAAAAATTTTGTCTAATGAATGTGTGTGCTCTGAGCTTGAAAATTTTCTTACTATGTCCCCACCGTATGTTTGGTGGTTGAACGGTAAAAATCCTGTTTGTCAAGCTTTGTTCAAATAGGGCATTAGTAAGAATTAGGTCCCCTCGGAGGCGACGGTATTCCAGGGGAAAGAGATCAAGCATCGCGAGACGCGTTTCGTAGTCCACGGATTTGAGGCCGGCAACA